CGGACCAAACAAACATTTATAAATATAGAGCTGCCAAAGTATAGACTGAATCCTTCGAATGACACTCACAGAGTTGTTATAATTCGCGATTTCAACGTGTTTTGAACCGGAAACCGAAGGTTTTTCTATATTATTTTATCAATAGCAGTCGTCCGTTTGAGAGGATCGGACATCCGACGCGGTTTCTTTCCATTTCTAACGCATCGATTCGAAGAATAGGGACACGATATTTGTCTGGTGAGTTTCTTGTGACGAAAAATAAGTCTACATGGGAAATTGGACAAAACGATAATAGTTCTCTAGAATGGGAATTCGACAGTACTATAGATTATAAGTGTATAATTTTTTTTGAGATTTATATTTTTTTTTGACAATGTATACATATAGTTTGTATTCTGTTTAACCTTATTATTTTAAATTCTGGACGAAATGGTTTTACTATGATGTCTGTTTATTTATATTTTGAGTATAGCGAGCGATCTATTGAATTTACTATATGTGCGTTTTATTTTTTTTCCCTCGTCTGCAGTAAACAATTTATGTGTTATGTCTACCAGAAATATTTTGAAACAAATAATGACTTTTTTGTTGCAGTTTAAATCTAGTTGGTAAGTAAGAAATAAGTTTTTTTGATTTTCTGCGTAATTTTCTTAATAATTGTTGCAAAATCGGTAAAAAACGTACGAATGAACGGGAAAGTTTATGGAAATAATTTTTTCATTATTTTCATTTTTGTTGTAATTCAGTTAAAAACATTCGTAGAGATTTGAAATTTTGGCAAATAACTTATATTGAATTTTTCTAGGCGTTTTAAAAAAGTTTTATCGATTTTTAAGTTTTTTATAGACATTTAAATTTTGCAAGTTTTTACTGAGCTTTTATTGGAAACATGTCATTGTTTAACTAAACAGATATAGCTCAATTAATATTTTTGAAATGGGACATTAAAACCGAGTATATAATTTGAAGCAATTTGAAAAAACAAGAAACAGCAATGCTCTGTTCGGACTTTAACAAATCGCGAAATAAACGCTTACTTACTTACTTGCGCGTTACGAGTTATATTTTATGTTCTAAGTAAAACGGTGCCTGCTAAATACCTACGGTTGTTTTCGACATCGAAAACATAATAATGTTAACTATGCAAAATTATGGGTCAGGCTAGTCTGGCCATAACCTGACCTAATATTGACTTAAATGAATTTAAACCTTAATTTCCTTGTATAAATACCTAAAATGTATAGTCTAAATACCTACGCCTACAATTTTTTTTCATACTTATCATTTGGTCTGTTCTAATAATGTTGGCTAGTTTTGTTTATGAATATTAATAATATTTAAGAGTATTTTAAGAATTATTTGCCATTTGATTTAAGGAAAGGTTTCAAAGGAACGAGCTTCTTTGATTTCGGCCGCTTTTCAGGAATTTTTCACGAACGGATCTGCGAAGGAACGCATATTTCGTTTATTTATTTGAGGAATAATTTTTGTTCGTTTTTTATTTATTTGATATACACTCTCCTAATTTAAATCATTTTGATAAACTTATAGTTTATTAATTTGGAATAAAACACTATTGCATTTACAGCAACCAATTATTTTCCTGAACACCTTGCCATATTTTCTCGTTTAAATTGTTTAATTTTGTAAATACAAGAAAATGTGACAGTGCGTCCTAAAGCACCGCACATTTACTAAAGGAAACGTGGTGCAAAATCGCATTTTTTTAATTCTCTCAAAACGTTATAATGCAATTACACATCGTTTTACGATCATATTTTATGCCTATAACATTATTATACTACGTCCGTCCAAAATCAAGTTTACTCGAAACATTCGTATATATTTCTTCCTAGAATCTAAGACCTAGATGATAATCGCCCCGTATATTATAATATTATTAAAATGTACATGTATCTGAAACGCTATTATGTGAGAGACGTTTAAAGATAAAACGTTAATTATTATTATAATTATTGTACGGTCGGCATCTTATTACGAGAGCTTACGAGAACGAGTTCGATAAATTCAAGTCTCGTAAAATAGTGGCTCGGCGGCGTAATAATGACGGCATGTAGGATAATATATTTTGTTTTTCGTTTGTGATGTTATAAGAATACCACGGGATATACATTTTTTTTTCTTTAGATTTATATGCTTATAACAATTCCCTCCCCCTCTCGCTATCTCTCTATTTTTCCTCAAACTATATAACCGAGTCCGCAATAGTTCAAAGGATATACACGTGTGTATATATATATATATATAAGACAATAACGTTGCGGTCCAATGTTACTGTCGGATAAAGAAAAAAAAAGACACCGTCGCTCCGGGTCGATCTCCGCGAGAACGACTCTGTCGGCGCGGCGATTGCCGCAGCGGACGGTTAGGTAGGTTTTCGTTTTTTCGTCAGCTGCACCGTCTGGTGTCGGTGTATCTGGTTGTATACTGCAGTGTACCTACTGTAGATAAGATACATACCTACCTACGTCTGTATATAATAATACGCTTCTCGAGTATTATAATCGGTTTTTTTTCTATTTTAAATAACATATAATATTGTGTATTGATGATTGATCTAAGACTACCAGATGATCCATTTAAATGAGTACATTCATTATCTCGGAAAGCAACTTTTTCTGGCATTTGTTTTCTAGAAAATTTAAGAAACAAGCAGCTCTACAATTTTATATTTATGTCATATTTTGTCACCCTTATTTTCGGGGGTAAAACCACTACCTGTTTTTAATTTTCAAATAGCGACCAATATTAAAAATTCCATAAATAGATGAAATATTTGTTAAAATAAATTTGAATGTTAAAATTGTTGATTTCTGTCAAGCCGTTGACGAGATATTCCACTTTTAAGTTTAGGTTAGAGGAGAGTTCTATTATAGTGGTGCATTATTAACAGGCCGCGCGCCGTACTGCCACACAAATGATAGGGTAACAAAAAATAATATAAATATAAAACTGTAGAGCTGCTTGTTTCTTAAATGTTCTAGAAAACAAATCCCGAAAAAGTTAATACTTTCCGAGATAATGAATGTACCCGCTTAAATGGATCACTCGGCATATTATTATATGCGATGAACGTTTTTTTTTTTCATTACTGTGATAACGATAACGATTTATAGAGCTAAATAATTAAAATTAATTCCATTTATACGTCGTCGTCGCCGCCGCAGATCATCAATTCGTTGAGTCAGAATTTTTAATAATAATATTTATGATATGAATGAAAACATCACCCATTTATAAAATCAAAAGTTCCAGAATAATAATAACAATATCAATGATAATATTATTGTTTTTACATAAAGCACAGAACAACGCGTTCATTAAACTATTTTTACATAATATAGAATTATTATAGATATCAAAAGGATAATATTAACAATAAAATACTGCTTAGAGTGTTTGTTTTATCGATCTCAAATTATTTTTATAAGAAAAAAAAAATAGAAAACTAGAAGAATAGTAGTTTTAGTTGGAAATAAGGACGTACGACCGAAAAAATCACACGAGTCTTATTTGATTAAATTAACGTTTTATATTATTTAAAACGTAGCTCATAGACAATTATTTTTATTTTTAGTAAATTCATCGGTTTTCTTTATACGAAAAGGTTTAGTAGAACTCTTACCACATTATACAATCTATAAGAAGCACTTTGCAGAAAAAAAAAATAGTTTCCCTTAGCGAATGAATATTTAACGGAATCTACGGGAAATAAATATACGTATTATAGATTATATAGGTCTACACATACATCATATTACAGGGTATAATAAATTTATAAAAGTGCTGTTACTGCTGATAATACGAGCCACTGTTATATGAGGAAAAATCTCGGACACAATTTTGTTGGTCTCTTTTTCGAAATTTGTTCTTGAAATTATTCAGCGTTATAAAATTCTATATGTATTTGTTACATAAAACTAGAGACGGCAGATACCAAACATTTAGAGTTTGATACTCGAATACTTTTGTTTAATAGTAAAAACAAAATACAAATATTCAAATATTAGTTTTTTCGCCCGCACGAAAAGAAATAATAGAACAATATTATAATTAGATATACTACTATGGTGGACTACCTTATTATTTATTTTGTATTGTTTTAATTTCATCCGTATTGCCAAAGTCACCCATAAATAATAATAATAGTAATAAAAAAAACTTAGATTTTCGTATATTAAAAATATTCCAAAAAAAACTCAGTATCAGCTACTTTTTAGGAGTTGAATATGGGAGTGGGAAAAGTAATCTATAATATATTATTCTTGGTCTATAACTAAATGATTACTGTTTCGGCGCGAATAAGTAACATTTGTATTTGCAATATTATTTATTATTACGAAACTGTATTATTTTGTATTAAAAAAAAAAAAAAAAACGGATTTAATTAATCTAATCGATTTACTTCTCTTCTGTCATTCGGCACTATTTTGCCTATTGTGTTTTTATAACTTCTCACTTATAATAACGGCCAACCCATCAGCAATTATTGTTTTTTTTACCTATTAGATTTATATTTACGTTAATATTTCGAGTTTTTAACAGTTGCCAATTGCCACTTTGAGCCCCTCCTAAATACCGAATTACTTCATTCAAGTCCGGCGAGTTTTATATAATGCATTGCTCTGTAAATGTCATAAAATCCAGTAGGCTGATACATTCCCTATCTGGCGTTGACTTCATTAATTTTCAACTGAATTTAACTACCCGAAAATAGATAATCGCGAAGTGAATTTCCAGAAACGCGGGAAGCGGAATATAGGGAACATTGCTGGCTTTTGGGAATTTCATTTGTTTTTTTTTATTGTTATTCGAGTTGTTGCGACACCATGGTTTCGTTTATTTTATACACTAGCCTATATAAAAAAATGACGATTTGCATATTCGTGTTCTTCGTATTTACGAGTACTTCCGAACTTGTATTTTTAATTTAATACGTTTATTGAACTATTCTGTTCTGTTTTCTAACATCGTTCTCGATGGAGAAATCAAGTACGGTTTCATCGGGTATCGGAGATTTGTCGGAGACCGGAGATACGCCGTATGCCGGAACGCTGATGTCCGTCTTGATGTGTCCGCCCGACGGAGGTATTTGGTCGGTGTTAACTTGTGTGCTCGGTTTTGTGGCCATGATGATTTTGGACGGTGTGTGCTTGTCATTGTTTCTATACGACAGTCGTGTCGGCATGACTGAACAAGTGTCGTCGCCGATGCCCGCCCTGGAACACTTGGCCGTCATCGGCTTTTGCCACTATTTTATTGGTAAGAAACCGGCATGTGTTATTTTATACATGTGCCTTTTTAAACATATAGGCAAGACGTTGCTGCTCCTAAATTATAATTCTTATTTTTCTGTAATTGAATTTTAATCTGACACCCATTGGTTTACATACCTATAAAATGTATCAAATCGTAAAATAATTCCGATTGAACTTCGTTAAACTCGGTAAACATCATAGGTGTTTTCTTTCCTTGAAGCCGAGATAACCCAGAAATTAATGAAAAAAAAACTGTCATAAATTGCCATTTGTTTTTTAATATTTTAGAAAAACTATTGAGAATTTCAAAAAAAAAATTCGAGTAAAGTACCACCGTGCGAAAATTTTGCATAATTTAAGGTACTGCGAACAAAAATCTACTCACTAAAAGTGTTTAAAGAAAGTACATAAAAAACAACTTTTTAGATGGTGTCTAATTGTTAATTCTATGTGTCTTTACTAATAATAGAATTTAAAACAATACAAGTTTCTACGTGCATTTCTGTACAATACCTAGTCAATATATTGTTACATGACCCTACAATTGGGTCAAACAGTTCCACCCCTATAAAAAGTTACTGTAGACTTGGGCTTATCCTTTAAACTCGCCCTGTTTAAATATTATAAATATAGTTTACTAACACCTATATTAAAATTTATCTCTGTTTACAGAAACGTTTTCGTGTGCGTACATCAACCGGTATGGTTTTCGATATTGTTTATTCTTCGGTAGTACATTGTCCGTCACGTGGATTACGTTATTGAAATTATTTGTCGATTACGTAGTCGATGAATTACCTTTCGGACAATTTTATTATTTTTTCTTAGCCGCCGTCGGAGGTAAGTTGAGAAATATAATGATTTTTAGTATGCATACTTACATTTAAATATTGTTTAAAGTTACTACAATTTAAATAGATCATTGATTTTTTAATTCGTATTTCAAATACCATCTTATAAACAAAATATTATAAGTTATTATAATATATAATCTAATTCGTATCATGTATAACAATTCTAACCATCACTATACAGTTTGCGAGGAAACTATATGTAAAATGATAATAGACTATATAAAATGTACACGTCGGATCCATTTGATAAACGTTTACATTTCACGAAAAGTTATCGTGTGTTCACAAAAAACATTTTTTTCTTTTTACATTTGATGAAATAGGCATTTGGAAATTTTCATGAAATGGATATCTTTTTCGGAATGGATGCTTAAATATTTGATTGCAGATATCGTGTTATTTTTTTATAATCATTTAATTATTCAATAAAATGGACTCAATTTCATTAATTGGATAACTTTTCCTGAAAATTGCAATATTTTATAAAGTGGATCTCTAAATGTTTTTTTTTTCTAAAGATAACGTAATTTTTATTTTGAAATACGCTATTTGTATAGGTATCGGAATCGGTATGGTTAAAATGGCGTTCGTCGTGTTATTATCTTCGCTGTTTGTCGTCAAACGCGAATTTGCACATCTGTGTCTACATATGGGAAGTTTTACCGGAATGTTGCTAATTCCACCTTTTACGGAATTCCTAATACTGAATGGTAGCTGGCAATCCTCGATGTACCTTCATTTAGGTTGGTAAGGTGAAAAGTGTAAAATTAAACGTTTCGATACAGTTTAATAATTTAAGGGGTTTGGTGACGGTTTTCTAGAATTTTATTAAATTAGTCACCATCTTAATGATCAGACTTTTCCACTTATCTTCTGTCCTCTATTCACTTAAAGGGATCGGATTTGGACCTTTTTACGGATGAATATGATGTTTTAGACCGAAAAGTCAGACAAAACTGTATAGGAATTGCATTTGATTACAATCACGGATTATAATTTTACAAATCTGCAAGATTTTGACAATTTCTTGTGAAACAATTAAATTTCTATTTTTAGCTAATAGTGAACCTAACGAACCATAACCAGTTTTCAAAAATGAAATTCATCAACAACAATTCCTACAGTTTGATCTGGCTTTTAGGTCAAAATTTACTAAAATATACAGTCACTGTTATCCTCTAAAAATTATATCGACGCGACACTTTATCAATATGGTACATGTATTAATAGGTCTGACGAGTTTCACGTTAATGTTTTGGTTACTGGTCGCCACGCCGGTGCCATTGTACGTCTGCGAAGAAACGTCCGATGATGAAAATTTGCATCACCTGTCCGACGACTCCGAGTCCGACGGAATCGTCGACACAGTCGCTGATATAAAGTGATTAGATATTAATAATTCATTAAGGAAATTATCTTTTCAGTGTAAATTAATAGTTTTTACGAGGTATACGTAAATATTATTTTTCAATATCGTTCGAAAATATATTTAGCGAGATTTCATGTTATTATTGACACATCATATATTATAATATTACTTACATTGATTTTTTATCCAATTTTTATTACATAGATTTGAAATCGGATTTAATATATTGTTTCAAAACACCGTCTTCCATTTTAGTAGGTACACCGAACTTTAATAGTAATTCCTAATCCTTTGGCAATCACCTTAAACGTTGAATTTTTGATAGTTTCTTTTTACTTCCATGAACATTATAAAGTTTCCGTAATTGTAATTTGCAGACTACGATTCGTACCGTTAACGGTGGAAACGCAGTTGTGTGGTTCTTGCAGACCGTATGTGTCTGTGGGCCTGAACGCCAATTGGCTATACGCAAACAAAACAATCCGACGGATGTGCGTCCGAAACTTGACGAATATGTTCAAAGGCAGTACGATTGGTGCTCGGCCAATGTACCAACAAGACATTATGTTCGACGGCAACGTCATGGTGTTGGCGGCCAATTTAAAAGCGGTGCAAAACTATATACTATACGTATTATCAGATTTTTTGCTTTCCACATTTTTATTCGCACAATGTTTACTTTGAAAATTTATTCTGCTACGTACATTTTGGTAAAATACCCGGATGACACATCATGAATGAAATTTATTTATTCGTTATTCACCACAGTTTTTTTAAGGAAAAGGTTAATGCATGTAAAAAAAAATGAATCGAGAAAACTTACTGCACTACAGTAGTTTGAAAATTTCACAAAATTTCCGTCCTATCCGCCGTTCATCATTCGTGTACTTATAGCGGTTTTTCAACATACAGTTGTCCATAATATTTTGTCTGTTCTGTTTATAGCTCAACAGATTCGAAGAGTTTTCTGCTAAAATGATATCGGTTGTGACCATTGACGACATAAATGAAGAAAAGTATAACCGATGCAACTTGTGTTCAATTGCCGTAACCCGAGTGCTCAAATCGATGTTTAATATGTCGATTTGGCTCGACGGAAAATTCGTCGTGTTGGCAGCGAGCAATGCTTTGATCTACAGCTCGTGTCTTTTACCGGTTCTTTTCATTAAAGGTAAACATACAATTGAAACTTTTATTTTTATTACAGTGGTATCAACTACCGAGAGTGCAAAAGTATTGCGGGGGTTGCAAATAATAACTACAATGCGGCAAGCCTGAAACTAAATTTATTTATTTCTTTATTAATTATATATTATATCTAACAGTTTAATTCACAGGTAACAATTTTTAAGATGCGTTAAAACCATTTGTATATGTCATATGGATCCGTTATTCCGTATAGAAATAAATGAAATTTGATGTATAATATATTATACACATTATTCTAATTCATATGATTAGAATAATAACGATCGTGTTTCTTTTAAATGTGAACATATGTAGGTACTGCTGGTCAGAAAACGTCCGCGGAAGCAATGATTACTCTTATCGCGTGTTGCTTTGGTCTTTTGATTGGCCGGGGTATCGGTTTTTATTTACACGAAACTTCGTCAAAAGGCATTCCTCTGTACCACGTGAGTTCGGTGCTAATAGCTAACGGCCTTTCGATGATTGTGTGCTGTACTACGAATGATTTTTCAAAAATAATACTGTTTTTCGGATGTTACGGATTTCTTTGGGGTGAGTTAATTTTTTGTCGAATAAATTAACGACATTCTAATCATTATTATGTCACATAACGAGATCGATATTAATGAGATAATTAACAGTTTATTATTGTTGTATTCCCTAGTCCAGTGGTGTATTTATGAAGGGATTAAGGGGACAAGGGGGCAGTGCTGTAACTAGAGATTGGCGACATGGGCGATAGCAAAGGCACAGCAAAGTAAGGGGGCGCATTTATGTGGGTAAATTATAGTAGGTATATATTATAATTAGTACAATTTGTAGTAGATAGTTTAAATTTGTATTAAAATCAAAACTAAAATGTGTTAAAATGATGGAATGTGTGGTAACTTTCGTTTATCCACTTAGTATCTTAAATTTAATATTAACATTTAATATTAATATATTAAAAATTGTAATCATGGAAATTGCAGTAACGTAGTCAGAAAAAGATTTCTGAAGTGAGATAATAATTATTTGTGTTAATATGCAGTAAACACCGAAAAACCAATGATTAATTATAGGTACTTGAAATTTTTGGTTTTCATTTAGTTTTATGTGGATAAAACTATTTTGACTGAGCAGATATATTTAAACATTTTACACGACATTCATCATAAGTTGTAGTTGTTATTATAGTTCGAAAAAGAAGTTGAATTTTGTGTATACGGTACGTTTAAAGTTTTCACTAACAAGTTTTCATTCAATAAAATATTTAGGACTATATCAGTTTATTATTATTATTTATTATTTAGGACTGTATCAGTCATAAGAGAAAATGGTTAAAAGATAAAACGCACCTTTTGGAGGTTAAGGACTAATGGCTAGGAGTAGGTTCAGGATGTTCATCAGTAAGATATAGACTGACTTACTTTTGTGTACCAAAATTCAGCTTTCGAATAACTAGTGTATATTAGTAACTACGAATATTAGTGTGATGTAGGTACTAAAATGATTACTGACTAATTTTGTTAATTCGTGTTCAATGCAGAATTCCTATATAGTAGGCGTGGCATTGGAAACTTCAAAGGGGTAGAAGTTTCCACTGTTATGTGTGTCATTTAATACCTCATTTCCATTACTTTATATTTTTCACAATATTCTGTGTGTATAGGATATTACAAATCCATGCAATATGCGGTGTTTCAACATTGTATTTTTCCGTTGAAGAAATTTACCAACATACGTGGGCAAATTTCATTAGTACGAGCTGTATCGTCTTGTGCAGGATTAATGACTGCAAGTGAGTTTTTATTCATAATATTTATTATAACTTTTGTGTATACCTAATTAGTGATTTTTACTAAAATTAGTAAACTACTACTACTCGCTTAGGTTAAATGTTAATAATCAAAAATTACAACGTATGTTTGGTTAGCCTCACTCCCTTTTCGATTCTCATCAAGATACTAGAGTTACGGAGTTGTTCGTGCGAATTTATGCAAATTTCGTGATAATATTTTGTAGGAAAAACAAATCACTATCATAAATATTGAGCGGGGGGAGAGGACTGGAGAGACTTCTCTCCTGGGGATCAATTTATCACTAACATGGGAACAGTGCAAATTTATACACTTTACGTGCTAAATATTGGGATAATTTTTATTTTAAATATTTAAATTCCCAATGGGGCGATAAGAGGCTAAACGTACGTAAAATTACATATTATATCTACCTACTAAAATCTAATATGACAATTGAAAACGAATAATATATAAGTAGCACATCACTTTAGAAATTATTAACTTCTTTGAAACTATGTCTAGGCAGTGGTGTAATTGAGTTGGGTTTGAACATTTATTGTTGGGCGTTTTCGTATTCGGATTGTTTTCACTTTTTTTGTAATTTTTTTCCTCTGAAATTTCGATAAAATATATCGTCTCGTTGTACCTAATCGCATTTTCTAAATTTTTACAGTAATAATTCTAGAAGAGACTTCGGAAATTGGTTACGTTTACGAGTTCGCGGGCTTGTTGACAGCAGCCGGAGGCGTGTGCCTGGGACTGTTGGAGCCGGTCTGTAGGCGTCAGATGAACGCTGCGAACAAAGTCGGCTCTAAACATCCAAATATCGTATTCGATATCAAAACAAAAACGCTTCGTGAAATTATTATCGTTTGATTAATCACGAATAATAAAAAAAATAATTTGGTCTATGTATTATAGTATAAATAGTAGTATAAAAAATATCGATTTCGTTTTTGACTTAGTTTACGTTTTATTTTTCATTCGGTTTCGATTTCCCTTCTAAATACAAGTGTTACACTTTTTCGTTTCTGGGTTTAATTAATCATACCAGTACCAGTTTTTATGATTCTCAGTAGGGAATGTAATGTTTTGGTTTTATTATGATGTCTGCGATTTATTTTTTAATTTTGTTTGGCTTGTAATCGACTTGCTCCAATCAAAAACCGACAAGAGTATTGTTTTCTAGAATTATTAATTTAGTGTATTGAAGTTTCAATATTAATTGGGACAAAAACGTATAGGAAAACGGACAAATTTACGATAGTTAAAGTTTAATTATTTTTGATTTTGTTTTTCGACTAGAAATCTTGTTTCAAAATTGAAATGCAGCAGCTTTTCTGAAAGAAAACTTTTTTTAGTTGTTGTATGAGGAAATCATATTTTAATTGAAAAAAACGTTGGATAAACGGAATAGTTTACGGAAATAATGACGATATCGTTTGTTAAAATTCGGTTTATTATTGTAATAAGATTGAAAAATAGTTGTAGAGGCTACTGAGAATACCCATATCTATCCTTTTATAGACGTGGTAAAATTCTGGTGATTTTTGAGCAATTTATCGACATTTGACATTTTTCAGTTTTTAACATTTATTTTTCGGTTTTATGAAAAGCTTGACAATTTTACACGAGGGTCATCAAATTTCGACGAAAATCGTAAAAATTGCGTAAAAAAAAAAAAGGCCGATGCTGGATTATAAAATAAATAATTATCCCTGTAGGAATGTGATAATAATAATAATAATTAACTATTAGAACAGCGACCGTGGCTCGTTTTCGTTCAGTAACGATTAACCTTTTTATGGGGGAAAAACATGTTAATGTCTTTTTTGAAATTATACACTCCAAATAAAATTACGGTTGAAACAAATGTCCGAATTGTGACGTGTACATATTTTATACTGTCGTGTCTCATCGTTGGGCTTGTCTGTCGGCAGCTGCGGCGGCGGCGGTGGCGTCATAGGATCATTCGTTAATATTATTCATGAAGAGTGTACTGCACGAGTGGCGGCTTAGGGTTCGACTTCTTTTGACAATTTCGTTTACTTCTCCTCCTCTTCCCCTACTATACCCCGTCGCGTCTTTATCAGACCGAACACCGACGAGAACCCGTATCGTATGTACTGCGTCACCGACGAGAGCCACTGGGTGGTCTGACACAGAGAGACATCACGACTATAATATAAGGATATTTTCTAAATAGGAAGAATTAAAAAAAAAAAAATTAAAAAATATAAAATAAATACTCCAAGATGCTATCTTGCGTTTCGTCTTGCGGGAAGTATTTATTGTTATTATTATTATTATTTTACGACCGTTGTCGGAGGTGTCGTTTAACAGGGAGCGATGAGGCCAGGGAAGTAAAAATAAATACCGAAAAACGAGAAGACGTGTGATGTAAGCGCTGTTGCCTAATATAATACGCAATGTTCCAGAACTTGCAGTGCTTATTTTTTTCTTATTTTTCGCATTACGCACTTTATTTCCCTGGGTAAGTACCTTACTTCTCTTGGTTCCAAAATATAATGTACTCGTTCGCTTATTACTACCCACCGTCCTTAAATTTAATTAAATAGTAAATATTAACATTTTTTAGGTAATTTAAGTATCTTCACGCATTTCACGCAGTTTAGTAAAAAAACGAAATTGTTGGATTTTATTACTCTTCTAAATCTCAAAAATTCATTAAAAGTAAACACAAATTGTCAATTTAAATAACGATAATATATATGACGTGTGTATTGTTTAAAGTATAATTACATCAAAGTTTATCGTATTATCTGGTACATCCACATTTATATTGCCATACTGGCTGATTAATGTTGTCGGGAAAATAATTTTTTCTCTTCATAATTTTGAGCTCTGGATTATAATTCTTATAAATTATTCTTTAGGTCTTTATATAACTACAAAGTTAATTTTCTATCCAAACTCATTCTGCACTAACAAAAATATTAAAGTATACAGCCAATGAAAATATAAAAATGACACATTCGATAAAACCATAGAATTTGTGAAAATATCAAACCTTTATGAATTAATACGACTATTGACTATTATTTAACAACATCACCGCATACGACATTGGTTTGCTAGTATTTATCGATTTAATAATTAGTTAAGTCATGACAGCCGAACCATTCGTGTCACAGCGTTTGATTTTGCAAAAATGTACAGCTATGAGCGCAGTATACCATGACTAAAGATCACCATTTTATATGTGATTAAAAAAAGTTTGCCTATGTGATTTTGCATTTACCTGTACCTTGGGCGTAGTTTACAATCGCCGGTTTTGACTTTTACCCACAGACGCCCCGTAACACGTTTTATTTTATAATATACGATTGTATGTAAAACTATTAATAGACCGGTACCGGATATCGTGATAGATCGTTAAAAACGATTGAATACGGTAGTAGTTACGTTGCCGAAAAAAATAAAAAAAAAAGATCCGTCGACCGGTGTTCCCAAATCGTATTTCACCGACATTTCTATAAAATTATATTATAGGTCTGACGGCCAACAGGTTCTTTTTATACGTTATGTACCGATGGCGATATAATACCAATGGGAAAAAAAAAATCACTCAACCGTATAGTAATATATTAAAATGCATTATAACGCACGCCATGCGGTACGAGCGCGCGTGTATTATTAGAAAAACCGTTTTCCGGCGCGACAAAAGGACACACCGCCGCCGCCACTGCTACGAATACCGTCAGACGTACAGGACAGCAATAAAACGCCGACCCCGTCTTTTGATGCGCTCATACCGAGTGTGCACTACAACAATAATAATATTATTATGCATTACCGTATAAAATATAACATTTGTTATAATATATGCGTAGATAGTCGAAAAACATTATTTTCCCGCAATAAAAGCTATGGAGGAAAAGAAAAAAAAAGAAAAATAGAGACAATTTATATTTTGAATTCGACGGTTTGTACAGAACAGGGATGGCAAACCTTTTGAACACTGCGTGCCCGAAATTACCTTCTTTTTTTTTTTTAGAGCGTGCCATGAAAAAAATATTAAAAATATTGTATTTTGCTATATTATAATTTGATTGTATAATTAATGTATTAGTATAAAAAGGTTAGTATAGGTACATAATAATAATAATTATAATAATATTACTTTGTTAATTATTTATTTTGATGTGATTTTTGTTGTTGAACACTTGATGCCAATTCATTGATATTTGGTTTATAATTAGTCACTTTTAATAAAGTACATGCGACACTGCATTCATTAGTTAGTTCGTTTCTTAAATCAGGTTTTATAAAATTAATTTCTGAAAATAGTGACTCGCATGAATAAGTTGAAGAAAAAATAGAAAAAATAGCTAATACTACTATTTTTAAAGTGGAATAATCTTTTGGAATTTCATTCCACACTTTCAAAATCTTGTCCCCTATGTTTCCGATTAATTTGCCTATCGCCCTATCACGCTGAATTTCTTCTAATTCATTTCTTAGTATAACGAATTTTTCTTTCCATATGGTACTCGACTGAAAATCTACAAGCTCCATTTCAAAATCATTTAAATTCACCCATTCTAACACTTTTAAGTTGAATTTTTCTAATGACAATGTGTCTGGACAAATAATAATATTCATGGTTTTTTCAAATTCTTAAAACTGAGTAAAGTGTGTAGTGAACTCATTCATAGGTGTCTCAATAATATTTGAAAATTCTTGGATAAGATGAGTAATATCAGGTTTATTGAAAATTTCCAATTCCGATTCAAATATTTACAACTTCTTTGCAAATATTAGTTCCTTTTGTTGTTTCTTGCAATGAGACTAATTTAATCAACTCTTCTTTAATTTCATTACCAACAAAATATCTAATAAATATAGATAATCAAGCTGAACCAGTAATATTAGTGCTCTCATCAAGACAAATTGAAAATACATTACACAACTTGAAATTTGCAAATTGTTGATTTGTGATATTTTCTGCAATTTTTAAAATCCGATCTTTTATAGTATTTCTGGTTATGGGTAAATTCTTTATTCGAAGATATGAGACTGGTGCAGTCTCCAGCATCAAATCTTTAATATATTCTCCATCGCAAAAGGGCTCTCCGCGCTTTACAAAAACATTTGATACAGCAAAACTTGCGGCAACAATATTTGAATTGCTACCCACTAACTTCATTAAAGTATTTGTCTGCAAATTGTTGTTCTTAATTGCTTGTAGAATATACTATTTTTTTTTTTTTTTCAAAAGAAAATTATGATTAGTTTCAACATGTCGTTTAACAGATGATGTTCTACATACTATCATGGTTGAACATAAAATACATACTGCTTTATTGCCTTTTTTAACAATACCATAATCTTCAGTCCATGAATTTTGAAGTTCTCTGCTACTACAACTAATAACATTTAATTCACTAATTTTTCTTTTTTTTGGTACAGACATATTAAATAATGTTAAATAAAATACAATAATCGCACACGAAACACGAAACACGCACAACGCACTTACAAATTGACAGACGTATTTGTATTGATTAGTGTTTACTGAGGTAGGTTTATTACTCTCAATAAACGTACGTAAATAACATACTAAACGCAATATCATATAGAATCTATATTATCTATATTATAGATAATATATAGGTATTATTACTTTATCTACAGATAAAATTGAATAATCGGATGACACAATATAATACATACATGGTGAAAAAATTCGATCACGAACTAAAGATTAATTATTATACGGGCTGATAAATCTATTGTAAAGCACTCATTATCTCGGGAAGTATTGAATTTTTTTGAAATTTTTCTTGAAGAACATTTAAGAAACAAACTGTTTTAAAATTTAACATTTACATTATTTTTTGTCACCCTAATTTTTGTGGGTAAAACGACCACCTACTTGTAATTTCTAATTGGCAACCTATATTAAAAATTCTATTTATGGAATTTTTTGTTTTCCTAAGTTTTTCATGGTTTTTCATATTTGCTGGGAAAATTCTTGAGAAAATCGAAAAATGACCACCTTAAAATACCTTCCCAATCAGATTTTATTTCAGAAAAAGTGCTTTCGTTGGAAATTGGAGCAAAGTTTCTGGTAGAAAAGTTGCCTACAGAAAAAATAACCGTAATATTTTGTTAATATATTTCGTATATTTTTCCGCTTTTCTCCGTTTTTTTTTTTTTGATGAGAAAATCGAACCTTCTTAAAGTACCAATCCAAAAAATTTCGTTTCAGAAAAGGATCTATGTTGTATACATCAGAGTAAGCCTTCTGGTAGAAAGTGTTAACATAAAAAAAAAAAAAAAACATCTTTGTATAACCAATACTTTTTTCTGATGAATGAATCTAAATACACGCATGCACGCAACATTTCGAACACTGGACACCGAACGACTGAATTTGTTGTCAGTTGTTATTCATTTATTGCTACTTAAACTTAACTAATTAGATACTGACTAGATAAATTGAAAACAAAATAACGCAACGGTCTGCGCTATTATAATATGGTACGGTGATACGTAGAAGTCCATGTTACACCTTATTAAACTTGGGTTTTCCGGTGGGTATTACCATTGCAGTGTCTGAAAAATATATCATATAACCACTGAAACGTTTTTATACCTATGTACTAAAATATTTTGTGTTCACTGGATGTCCTATTGTCATTATGTTGTCGTTAGCAATAGTTTATCATTGCTTATAGATAGGCATTTCCCCTTTACTATACATTCCCAACTTCTCACCTAAAACAGTAGCCCATCCACGTGCGAAGTTGTTCGGCTTTTTTACTGTCACTTTAAAACTATTAGATAAAAATCCTGATAAAATTATGAATACATGAATCTCAACATTATTTTCTTAACGGTAAAACAAATGAGTAATTTTTCCTATAAACTTTCAAATCACTTTTCCGACATTTTTCGAGGCGGTGTGGCCCCGTGTCGCATCGGTAGCATGCGACGTGTTTACAGTATGGATGAAGGAACAAAAATAATGACGATAATAAAATGTAACCAACATTCGCGAATAAGATTGGAATAATGCAAAAAAAAGCGAAGACCTAATTTATACGAAATCTCTTCCGTATAGACGAAAAGACGATGGACGGTACTGGCGATGAAAAAATCACCTGTATAAAGATATACGAGCGACCATAATATCGTATGTATATATTCTGAATAGGTATACACGGTAGGTGTCGTATTTATACAATAATATGTGTGCGGTCGGCTTATACGGATTTCGTGCCTTTGATGTGCTGAAATTTAGCGGAAATATTTGCACAAGTGTTGTTAAACAGTTAAACACGTCGCCCACCGATACAATATGACGGGGACGAGCGTTTTACGACCGTATTATTATTTTTATATACGCTCGTATTTAGGGGCAGGTACACCGTCTTTTCGTATTATGTATGACAGATACAACAACAATAATAATATGTCTCCCGTTGTATGTACGAAAATAACGTAAAACCCGGCCGGCCCAGTCGTTATTATATTATTTGACTGAAATGCGTACCAAAAACCGAAAAACCACCCACGTCACGGGTACACAAGCGCGCACGACAAAGGAGACTTTTCGAATTATTATTACAATAGAATTCGACGTTAAACCAAAAGTATATTGTATAGAAAACGACCGTTCGACGCTATATAATGTATAATGTACCGATAAAATTGACTGCTGTGTACACGAAAAGAGAAAAAAAAAATACGAGGTGATTCAAGTAAAAAAAAAAAAGCATTACGATATGTTTTATTTATTTTTGATTTCCGCCGTCGGTATCTTGAACGATATTATTTATTATAATCGGGTACGATTTCTGGAGAAAACGAGCCCCTACTGCGCACCTATTATAGTATACCTACTCGTATAATAATGCGAGGCCGTATTAAAGTCGATGTGTGTACCGACGCCAAAAGTTCCGAGACTTAGGGTTTTTGAAATTCGGTTTTTATAACGCGTCACGTTTTAGTATATAACAACAATAACGACCGAATACTGTGCCATACTCAGTGCTCGTGTATCCGACGCAGGATTTGACAATTTCCTACATGTGGTCTTAATATTTCATATGGGAATTTGCGGGCGTCACTAGAGTCAAAATTCTATATATGTACGTATAAAAAAAAAAAAATAATGCTGTACAAAAAATTTACATTCCGTAAAACGAAACAGTGTGTCACTCGATTCCCTCGCTAATATCCTCGCAACCGCACATTGTATATTCGAAAACACAGTTTACTTTTATGTCGTTACAATATTGCCGATATTTTTAAACTAGAATTTTTAATTTTTAAATGTACATAAAAACTACACATTTTTGAACAAAACTGCATAACAGAATGTAAGTGGATGAGTACTAGTTAAAAATAATTGACATTATCACACTATCACGGAATTTGTTATTTTAAATATTTGCGTGAATTGGCCTGTATAAATGCAGCACAAGTTAACTTGTATACACCAACCACCAGAAAAATTTAAACATTTGTATTGGTATCTGTAATTTTCATGTTTAAAAGTGAACATGTGTTTAGTAGGTAAAAAATTATATTTTCGTTATGATATAATTTTAGGACGGCTACCGATGAGAAAGTGTGGCACACAAATATAGGAGTCATAGGTGCAACTAGGGAGGTGCTAGGGGTTCTTTAATATCCCCAAAAATACCCAATAAGCTTTTTTATAGTATCAACTAAATATTTTATCCGTGTATTTCATAATTAATAAGCAGAACAAAATACAGACAATGCATGTGTATATAAAAAATAAAGTTAAGCAAGTTAAATTTTTTTGTAAAAGTTGTAAATAAAAAATGTAGTTACTTATTATAGGTATACATGTAATGTATTTATAGTATAAAAATACGGACATACTTCGCACGATGGCAGTTGGTAGGATAGGAGATAGAGGGAGAATTTTATGTAAATCTGTATGTAACTATTAGTCATTGGTTCGGTTATATATGTTTTGAAAAGGCCGTAATTTGAAGACCGGTTGACCAAGTTCAATATTGACCGGTTTTAACCAAATTAAAACGCTTTTAATTTTGGCAGAATCCATTGGAATTTTCAACTGTTTATATAATCGCCACGTGCATCATCATTTTACTATAAAAATATAAAATATTTCTATACTACGGCCGTTGAGAGAGCACTTCTGGGCGGCGACAAAAATCTCGTCCGTTTTCGCGCATAGAATAAAACTTTTTCCCCCAAGGCTTTCCTGTAATACCTGAGTGAATACATGGAAACTGTGGTTAGATGAACCAGTATCTTCCGAAGATATAAATTTGCATTTAAGAATTTCTAATTCACTGTGTAAGTTAGTATTTCCAGCCTTTAACTCAATTATTTGTGCAGATAGTTATTTTAGGTCACTTTTTAATTCCTCGAATTGAGAGGGTGGGTACACAAAATACTTTTATTCGCAGATAAAAATTCATTACGAAAAGCCTCAAGAGCAGTCATTATGTTACTAGTTGAAGTGAGTGTAGACAAATTAGTCTTTATGACAATTTTATTTGAAGAAGTAGTAGATTTACTAGGCGTAGTAGGTTTGGGTGCCATATTGAAAAAAATAATAATCACTAAGTACCTGGTGTATATGAAACCGATAGAGGGCGAAGAGCTTTGGCACACACGATGTATATGGTGAATGTGGCGCGACATAGGTCTAATTGACAATATGTTCCTAGTAGTCACAAGATAGCACGGTCGTACGACATTTGTGCCGATAAAAATTAAAATAAACTTATGTTTTCCCAATGAAACAGCATACACGGCAGCCATGTAATTAAACAGAGCTTACACAAATAGGAAAAATTTTGAGTAGACCAACTCAAAAACGAAACGGGTCAACAGGCACATTTTTTACGAAACTGTTCAAGTAAAATACCAGAGTAACATGTATATTATTACTATGTTGCACGACCACAGTATGACGTTTAGAGATCAACTAGGAATAAGAAAAAAATTTCGTTGGCTACATTTTTGTTTATGTTCATGGAAGAATTCTTGTCCAGATCAGTTCTACACCATGGATATTGAAACAACATGGAAATTATGATTAATTAATAGATATAATATAAAACAAATAATAAAATAAATAGACCTTTTTTAAAAGGCGTATTATTGATACCAAGAATATATTGTCGATGTGCACAAAAACAATCATGGATAATGTGACTTTTTAAACCTGAACTATGAATATGTTTACAGAAAGAATTATTTAATAAACAATAATAAATACTGTAAAATAACATTAAAATGTATAAGCCTATGATAAATTACTTATAAATAAAATAATATCAGTATTGAAATAATTTCATTATGTAGATCGCATATTATTTACAAGAATTATTTACGTATAAAAAAACTTTTAAACATAATTTTGTAGTTAAAAGCCTTTTACTAACAGCGATGTGTGTTATATCCTGGGAATAAGAACAACANTTGTGTACAATGATGTTTAGTAATTAAAATAAAATAGTTTAATATATAAAAACATGAAAAATAATAAAATAAAATGAAAAAGGAATAAAATAATTAAAACATACATTAATATCACGAATTTTACATTGAAATAATTATTTTCCATGCACACAAATCAAAAGTTATTAAAAGTTACAATTAAAGATGTTTTTTTTAAATATTTTCATAATTAAAACATAATCAATAGTTAAAAATAATGAATTTTACCATTGAAATTGTATGAGCCTAAAGTCATATATTAAAAAAGTATACATTATTAGTGTACAATGAAAAAAATGTGCAATTTTAAATTAAATAGTTAAATAAAATAGATTATAATTTAATATCAATAAACATAGTATTAAAAATGATTAAAATAATTTCGATGTTCATTAATTTCTCGTAAATTACATTAAATTTATATTTTGCATGCACAAAAAATATAAAAGTTAACCAAACTAATATTAAATATGAATAAAATAATTTGGATATACATTAATATTACGTATTTAACATTAAAATTATATTATGTACATACATAAAATAAAAAATTATATAGAGTAACATTAAAGAGATGTTATTTTTAAGTATTTTCATAAATAAAAAATAATCAACTTTACTAAATCTACTCTAAATTAATTAATCTTACAATTAAAATGTATGAGCCTAAATTTACATATCAAAAAAATATACATCAGTAGTGTTACATTAAAAAAAAGTTGCCATTATTAGTTAAGTTGTTAAAATAAAATAGTTTACGATTTAATATCAAAGCAAAATAGGTCATTATGATTAATTAATAGATATAATATAAAACAAATAATAAAATAAATAGTTCTTTTTTAAAATGCGTATTATTGATACCAAGAATATATTGTCGATGTGCACAAAAACAATCATGGATAATGTGACTTTTTAAAGCTGACCTATGAATATGTTTACAGAAAGAATTATTCAATAAACAATAATAAATATTGTAATATAACATTAAAATGTATAAGCCTATATTAATATTTGCTTTTAATAACAGCGATAAATTGATTATAAATAAAATAATATCAGTGTTGAAATAATCTCATAATGTACACCGCATATTATTTACACCAAAAATATTATTTACGTATACAAAAACTTTTGAAACATAATTTTGTAGTTAAAAGCCTTTTACTAACAGCGATGTGTGTTATATCCTGGGAATAAGAACAACAATGCGTTGGCCAATTTTTTATTTATTTTCATGGAGCAGTTCTTGTTTAAATTAGTCCTGCACAATGGACATTGAAACACTTTAGCGGCAAATGATCTTCTTAGACAATTCTAAAACAAAAAGTATTCTATGTTAAAGTGTGCCTCCAATATTATATTCTGAGCGAAGCGATTAACGAATTCGTTTACGACGATATATTTTTTTCGTGAGCTGAATAAATGATTATTCTACGGGTTTTTTTCACAAATGAGAAATACCGGAAAGAAAACTTACGCAATTTCAGTATTTTCGGTTATGATTTTTTTTAAAATTCAGTGAAAATCGATCATAGAAACTTAAAATTTTGTTAAAATTATTAAACTGTGTATTTTATATGTGTGTGGTAAAATTGTCAAATACTTTGAGCTATTTATAAACATTTTAACTTTGCTATGTTTCAACGCAATTTTTTATTTGGTATTTACTCCAAAGATAAATTTTTTAGATAAAACAGATGGTACATTCATACTGTGTGATGAAAACAAAAAAAAAACCCTATTTATAATTTGAATATTAAATTTGAAGAAAATCTCAAGTAATAAATCCTATAAAAACACATATAACCGAATTTCGCTGGGATTCCTTTGTGTTAGCCGTAATTAATCGACGCCAACGATACACCTTACCAAATTTTCACCAAAAACTGTGGCCCACCCAAAGTGCGATATATGTGAGTGTTTTATTTATTAAAAATTGCATATTTATACTCACTTTGCAAATATTATGTTTGCATGCGGTTGTTATGAGATTATTAACTACATCTTGACAACATACACACTTAAATATTATCTCCACATTCTCCAGATATACCTACAAAGAAAATTGCAATTTTAAATGTAACAAACTCATTAACATACTTACATGCATAATTTAGCAAATAAAATACATACCTTTTTTCCTTTATCCTTTATAAAAAAAAAACAGTACAATGAAGATTAGCCATTAAAATAAAATAGTTTACAATATAATATCAATAGAAATAATATTAAAAATTNTCTTCTTTTTCATATCATCCGTAATGCCTTCTGTTTTTGATGAACCGCTCGTAGACTCATTACTCTCCTCATTTTCTTTGAAAGGCCTTTTCTCTTGTTTGATTGTTGTTTTGATGTTATAATTTTCAGGAATCTTAAAACAAATTACAATGAAACGATACATAATTTTCCCAATAATTTATATTGTGATATTTTTTAACAGAACTTACAATTATTTCCCGACCCTTTTTGGCCATATTGTCTGTGCTTTCTTGTGTCCAAGGTGCTGGTGCTGGATCATCCCTTTTTAATACATACCGCCAAACAATATACCCGGATAAACCGCGTACTGGGAAGTATGAATAAACTTTGTAAAGACCATCATACCTATAAAATAATGGAATAAATTTCAATAGAATAAGGTTTTTTGGTTGTTCCTATTTACACGGTGTTCGTTTTTATAATTATTGTTTCTTCGCACTTTCAAATTGTAATTATAATTTTTCATTTGAAACAATTGGTCAAGTGAAAGTCTCTATTAAAGACAGCCGATCACCCGAAGAGTTGGAATGAAGAAGTAAAAAAAAAATGAACAAGTTTAAAACAATCTTAAAACGTCTTATGCCTACCTATATCCCAACTCCGGAGCATATTTTGAGTGTTTTGAGTTACTACATCTTATAACTCGCAAAGGTTTTCCGTCCTTCCAATTCACTGCATTAGCTCCATTTACATTCAATTCGGAGTCGCAGTTTAGTGCCAAAGCTCTAAAAATTATTATTTTGATAATTATATACATTATAATTTTGCGATAAATACTTTTCAGTAAGAATATTATCAGTTATACCTGTTGGAACGTGTCAGCTCTTTCTTAATACTTTGTTTCACCGGTTTTTTGTTTTTATCTTTCAAGTTCCTTCCGCCAGACCCGGTATACATAATTACGTCCCCGTTATCAACATCATCCTCATAACCTCCACTGAATACGATTGAAAATGCTCCGACTTTATCTCGGCCATGTATTCTTCCAGTAGGAGGACGGTGAACGCCGGATGCAGATACCTAAGTATAAATTTAACAAATTAATATGCTCAAGCAATAGATTTTCCAAAACCTACTTGCGAACGAAGAAGCCAAGTAGTCCCAACCTCAATACCGGGAATAGCACCAAAATGGTCTACAGGTACAATATCGCATGTCTTTTCTCTACCAACGCATGCATAACCCTTACCCCAATCACGATTCGACGTCGATTTCTTTTTTTTTATATGTTTTAATTCTTGACCGGCTCCAACAATATCGTTTTCTTCTGTTTTACAAGATGGGCAGTACCTGAGACATATTATAATTTATATTCACATTGCTATATTACCATTTGTCTATTCAATATTCTAAATTCACTAACCAATCGTCGTCTTCAGGAATTAACTCCATTGGTGGATCAAGACACGACATGTGATATGGATGATCACATTCATCGCACATTATTTGCCGGTCTTCATTGTCCTTTCCACCACAAATTTGGCAACCACATTCTTTGCAATATTTCTCTAAATTATCTTTGCAAGCAATACAACGCAAAGGACCAGCTCCTATATTAAAGTAAAAATATAGTTATTATGATAGCAATTTTTCTAATTGGAAATCTGACTGGGGAGAAACTTTGCAGTAGTCTTTTTTCGATTTTCTCGGGCGTTTTCTCATCAAACTTGGAAAATCGAAAAAAAAAAACAAGAGGAAAAACGAGAAAAAGCTTATTTAAATATCTTGATATAGATGTTGCTAAGATCATCATAGGAACAATAGAAAATGCAAAGACTTTGGCATATTTACATGCAACAAAGATTGTTTAAGATAAAGGTTTTTAAGATTTGTTAAAATCGATAATAATTATGTAATCTAAGTATAAATATTATTACTCGTAACTGGCTCCGTTTGCATCAATTTATCATCATCCGGGGTTCTGTTTACAAGTAGTGTATAGGGTTTTATTGTATAAATATCATCCACAAATGTCAAATGGCAATTCTTCAACACAGTTTTACCGAGTCCAGGTATTATATTCCCAATGACTTCATTGCATCTCCTCGAAATTTTTACCGATTGTACTGTTACGTCAAACCAATAGCCTCGTTCCTTCGGATATTCCATATTGTAGTTCATGAGCAATTTATCGCCAGGTTTCACATTGTTTAAATGAATAATTTCCCTTGCGTGTGGCCTTATAGCATGCAATTTTACTTCAGACATTTCAGAACTCCTAAGTGAACATACAGGATAAATAATTTTATTACATAAAACCGTATTTCATTTGTAAAATTTGAAATTTAAACTCACTGATAGAATCCAACAACGTATATAAGTCCATCATTTTGCACTGGACCATCAGGATCATGTGAATTAACAATTTCAGGATCTTTTTTTATCTTCAGTATTTTGCAAATAACCCAAGATCCGTAATTATTATCATTTACATCAACATAATCTCCAACTTTAAAATAACGACTTTCCTCAGACATATTCTCTGAAATTTATTTTGCATAAATATTTACTAAATCATATGCTGAACTGGAAGTCGAAGAGCAGCTTGGCTCTTCTTCTTTATTTTTAGTCATTATTTGAATTACAGAATTTTGGTTGATGCTGTAGTCAAACAACGTATATTTATTCTCCAACTAAAACATAAAGATTCATAAATATTAAACTGGTACAAATACCTAATTATAACATTAATCGTATGCGTAATATGTGCAATAGATTTTTAAAAATATTACATTGATTATGCAGTTTCTAAATGTTGAGACAAATATAAATACCATACAGTATTTCTTATAAATATAATATAGATATTGTTTTCAAATGATGTTAGTTATAAAACTATTTAACAATAAATTGTAGCTGTTAAAATTATCTGTTTTCCTGCTATAGACTGTAGGAAATATCAACGTATATCGGCTAAAATGCCCATTGTATAGATACCAATATGGTCAGAATACCAGTTTTTGCGAGTTTTAAGCCGTAGGCAATCAATAAACATATTATGTACGTTAATTACCATAGAGTTAAAATTAAATTAGTAATTGTTAATAAAATAGTTGAAATTATTAGTATTTAAAATTATGTAGAGACCTTGTGGTTAACTTCGAGAACAAATTAATATAAATTTAATAATATAAAAATAAGGCAACTAGCACATTCATTGATATACAATAGCTTTCCATGCCAAACAATAGGATTTTTAATAACGATTTATAAAAATAAAAGTTTTGTTTCTGAAACAATACAATTAGAGATTCTATAAAGAGAAAAAATTGCATTAAACTTTATTAGGTGTAATCCATTTTTCGGGATATAATAAAACATAACGATTCAAATATTTACAAGGTAGTTATGAAATTTTCAAAGATACGATTAACTTATTAATTATCACAATTACAGCATTTTTATGAAAGTCTATATGTTGTTAGAATTATTTTGTCGGAACCGTTCAATATCATTTAATTATACGGACTCAGTGATTGCACGTTGTCGTAGTTAGGTAACAATTATTTTCCGACAAAATACTGTTTCAAACAATGTAACGTATATGCCAATGAGAAATATAAAGAAAATTGTTAATTATACACCTATACAATTTTTCACTAGAGAAAAGTAGTGTTTCGAGCAAGCCGCCTGAGCTACGGATCGCTGCCGGATTTCCGATGTGTTGCGACAGAGAACGACCAGTTACTACTGATGCCGACTACACAGGGTGTTCAATTAATGATCTTATAATTATACCTAATGTAATGCCGTCGCCCGTCATATACGAGCGTGAGTACGCGTACAGCCGGCGTTAGCGGATATTTATGTGCCTTAATATTATATTGCCTATTAACAAACGAAATAAAAATAAAAATATATATTTTTTATTTTATGTGCAAATAATATATAGAAGTGTACAAATTTAATTTATTATATTACATTTTTATTTTAATACGCAAATAAAAACTTAAAAGAAATACGTATAAAACAGTAGGTAGTCAACAAAAATGCATTAAAGAAATTTTAAGATTTGGAATCAAATGAGATTTCTCCTGTGATAATCATACATTATCATAGAATTATGAAATCAAAATCTCAAATATAAAAAACAGTTCAAAAATATTGAGTAGGTTTACAAAGCATTGTGTATACTCTTCACGAATGCGTATACGAATGTGTTCATATTGTATCGCTACGTATACACAGACGTGTAATCGCTCGTTACCGCTCTGGTCGTTAGTTATAACTGTTGAATGTACCTAATGCAAAAAACAATACTACAAGTATAGTGACGCAAACATTATACACAACATTGAGTAAACTTAAACATATAGATATGTTTAGACATTCAGGAGGCAAGAGACCCAAATAAAATTTAATAATCCAGTCGTTACGGTTTCCTTACCTGCTTTCCACAGTAAAACAATCGTTGTTCGTCCGGTTCGATTTCCAATCGTTGGGAAATATTTTTTTTTAAATTTATAATTTTACAATTTCTCGAAACGTCAAATGTGTAGGTCATTGGCTCTTTACTGACCGAACGGACTTTAATATGCATTTTAAAAATAAGGTAGGTACCGTCAACAAAAACGTGTTTAGCAATCGAACGAAAAAATCAACACGAAACGCGTGAGAGTAAAAAATAAAAAATTTATTTGTCTAAAATACCGCGTGACTCACTTATCCGTTGATCTGAAAGGCACNAAGAAATATGCGAGACAAAGAATAACGAAAAATCAACACCGAACTACTCGTCTAGCGGTGCACATTGTAATTTACCGACGCTGTGTAGTACCAACCCGGACAAACTATAATTCCCACGGTCTTTTAAATATTTGAAAATTTCGGCGGCACAGCGGGACGATGAAAAGTGATAATTCAACCAATGAAAAAATTAAGTACTAATAATAAAAGTTAAAATACCGCGAGTTTCACAATACAAATTAAACTTGAGTAAAATGATGTTTAGTAATTAAAATGAAATAGTTTTATATATAAAAACATGAAAAATAATAAAATAAAATGAAAAAGGAATAAAATAATTAAAACACACATTATTATCAAGTATTTTACATTGAAATATGTATTTTCCATGGACACAAATCAAAAGTTATTAAAAGTTACAATTAAAGATTTTTTTTTTAAATATTTTCATAAATAAAAAATAATTAATAGTTAAAATTAATGAATTTTATCATTACAATTGTATGAGCCTAAAGTCATATATAAAAAAATATATATTATAAGTGTACTATATAAAAACTATGTAAATTTACGTTAAGTCATTAAAATAAAATAGTTAACACTAATATATCAATAGAAATAATATTAAAAATGTATAAAATAACTAAGATGAAAATTAAGATAAAATTAAAATTAATAATATAGTTTAGACATACATTAATATCCCGAAAGCTAAACGCACACAAACAAAATAAAAGTTAAATTATAAAATTTTTATTTAAAATATTATTATTAATAAAAAAACTTTCATTCTGTAAATTAATTAATTTTAAATTAAGATATATGTCCCTAAAGTTACATGTTATAAAATTTAAATATGTAGTATAACAAAAAAAAAAGTGCAATTTCAAGTAGTTAAATAAAAAATGATACAAATTTATATCAATAGACATAGTATTAAAAATGAATAAAAAAATAAATAATATTCATTAATATCACGTAGTTTACTTCAAAAATTTATTTTGATGTACACGAAAAAAAAGTTAACTAAAGTTACATTAAAATTAATGAGCCTAAAAAAAAAAAAGTATTAAATAAAAAAACATGAGAATTTAAATTAATAAAAATTAAATGAAAAATTAATAAAAAATTATATATACAATAATATCACGTTATTTAAATTAAAATTAAATTAACAATGCACCCACAAAAAAAGTTATTTAAATTAACATTTAAGAGATTTTTCTTTTAAAACAATTTTTATAAATAAAATAGAAACAATACTGTAAATTAATTTATTTAAACATTTTGTTACATTTAAAATACGGTTTATTAAATATNCACAGCGGGACGATGAAAAGTGATAATTTAACCAATGAAAAAATTAAGTACTAATGATGGGATAGATGCTATAAATTTACTTGTTCCCCCCCCCATGTGAAAAGTGAGTTCCACAGTAATAATAAAGGTTAAAATACCTCGGGTTTCACGACACAAATTAAACTTAAGTACAATGATGTTTAGTAATTGAAATGAAATAGTTTAATATATAAAAACATGAAAAATAATAAAACAAAATGATAAAAGAATAAAATAATTAAGACATACATCAATATCACGTATTTTACATGAAAATAATTATTTTCCATGCACATAAATCAAAAGTTATTAAAAGTAACAGTGAAAGATGTTTTTTTTAAATATTTTCATAAATAAAAATTAATTAATAGTTAAAATTAATGAATTTTACCATTAAAATTGTATGAGCCTAAAGTCATATATTAAAAAAATATACATTTTAAGTGTACTGTAAAAAAACTGTGTAAATTTACGTTAAGTCATTAAAATACAATAGTTAACACTAAAATATCAATAGAAATAATATTAAAAATGTATAAAATAACTTAGATGAAAATTTAGATAAAATTAAAATTAATAATATAATTTAGACATACATTAATATCGCGAAAAAAAAACGCACACAAACAAAATAAAAGTTAATTTATAAAATTTTTATTTAAAATATTCTTATTAATAAAAATAATTTCATTCTGTAATTTAATTAATTTTAAATTAAGATATATGTGCCTAAAGTTACATGTTATAAAATTTACATTTGTAGTATAACAAAAAAAAAAAAGTGCAATTTTATGTAGTTAAATAAAAAGGTTACAAATTAATATCAAAAGACATAGTATTAAAAATGAATAAAAAAAATAAAATATTCATTAATATCACGTAGTTTACTTTAAAAATTTACTTTGCATGTACACGAAAAAAAAAAGTTAACTAAAGTTACAATTAAAATACGGTTTATTAAATATTTTTAAAAAAATCAGTATTCATTACACTAAGATNAATGATACAAATTAATATCAATAGACATAGTATTAAAAATGAATAAAAAAATAAATAATATTCATTAATATCACGTAGTTTACTTCAAAAATTTATTTTGCATGTACACGAAAAAAAAAGTTAACTAAAGTTACAATTAAAATACGGTTTATTAAATATTTTAAAAAAAATCAGTATTCATTATTCTAAGATAATTATTTTTGACTTTATAATGTATGAGTGTCCCAATCAAAAAAGTGCAATTTTAGGTTAATTAGTTAATATTAAATAGTTTACAATTTCATCTCNAATTAATTAATTTTAACATTATGTTAAAATAAAAATACGGTTTATTAAATATTTTTAAAAAAATCAGTATTCATTACACTAAGATAATTATTTTTGACTTTATAATGTATGTGTGTACAGTAACGTCCTAATTAATTACACACTAATAGTGAAATGAAACTATAAA